CACACACACACACACACCTTCTTTCACTTTGTCTGACCCCTCAATGCGACTGGTACGCGCACAGATATTCACCTCCCCTCCCTCCCTCTCTCCCTCTCTCTCTCTCTCTCTCTCTCTCTCTCTCTCATACACACACACACACACACACACAAGACTGATAGCCCTTGGTGAACCCCCTTATAACAGCTTTGCTTAGCCTTGCACTTGCAGTGACATTTGCCCAAGAAAACGATTCACTTCTCGGGCACAACGGCTAGAGGTTTTGAATGGGGAAGGGTGGCAATGGTGGGCTTTAAAAAAAAAACTGGCTATTGAGCTCTTTGTATCTGTACGGCGGAGGCGGTATACCATTCTAACGTGTGATTGTACATGTTTATAAAAGATGTTCCGTGTCTCCTTTTACATTGAGGGCAATGATTTAGAGAGAGAGAGAGAGAGAGAGAGAGAGAGAGAGAGAGAGAGAGAGAGAGAGTCAGTGAGACAAAGACAGGCAAAAAACACAGAGAGATATATAAATAGAGTAACAAAGTAATCCCCTGAATAGAGAATACATTATGAGTCATTGTTGGATATTGATTTGATCTTTGTTCAACCAACTTATTTCCTTGCTAACTTTAAATTTACCCCCCAAAATTAATATATCGAGTATATCAGGTTGGCAACACAAGACTTAAATTTATTTTTGGGCACGTCTCAGTCATCCTTTATAAGATTTTCTTTTCACAAATGCTCACAATTGCTGTAAAAAAAAAAATCCATATATATGGTGGAACAAAAGAAATTCTTTCTCGTTCCTCCCTGTAAGTAACAATCTCAACATCTCAAAGGTGCTTTGGTCAGTTCTGGATCCCACATCTTGATCAATTTGAAAAAGAAGTAAAAGAGGAAAAACTCACCTGAAACGCTTATCTGGAAAGTTCCGCTACGAGGTACGTCTGAATCCAGCCTGCGATCCAACGTAATTTCTCCTGTGCTCTCGTTGAGATGGATTAGCTCCGCGTTATTTCCAGAGAGAATTTTATACACAAGCTTATCCCTATCAGAAACATCTGGGTCATAGGCCGGAACCTTTCCAATGGGGCCACTGGGGAACATTCCACCGAAGTTGTTGTAAATGATGGAGAAATCCTCGAGATGCGGCTCTTCATCGTTAACATCTTGAACATGGATTTTTACTTTCGCTTTGGCAATCTTCGGACCCGAGGCCGCTTGGAGAACCACTTCGTACTCCTTTTTACCATTGTCGTAATCCAGGTTGATTAGGGTGGTGATGATCGCGGCCTCACCTCGAAGACCTGACAATTGGAAAGAGTGCGAGTCACCACTCTCCATGAGGCTGTACACCACCTGGGCATTGACTCCCTCATCCGGATCCTCAGCTATTATCTTGGCCACTGTGGAGCCGATAGGACTGTTCTCCTCAATCATAACATTGAACACACTAGACTCAAACTTTGGCGGGTTATCGTTGAGATCCAAGACATTTATATGAACAACGACTGACGAAGACAGCGGGTTTGTTGGGTGAGAATCTACTGCCACTGCGACCAAGTTGTAAAACGGCGTCACTTCTCGATCGACCTTTTTCACAAGCCTGATAACTCCCTGGTTGTCAATGCTGAAGGATCCACCTCCATCATCCCCTCCGTCAAAAGTGTACGTCACTTGACCATTGGTACTTGCATCTTTGTCTGTGGCTTTGATCGTCATAATCACTGTGTTCTCCAAAGAATTTTCTGTGACATTCCCAAAGTATTCATACTGAGTGAATTCTGGTTTATTATCATTGACGTCCTTGACTGAGATGACCAGTTCTGCCACATCGTCTAGTGGTGGTTGACCGTTGTCCATAGCAGTGACTGTTAGGATGTAAGCTGGCGTGGAATCTCTGTCTAACTTCTGTCTGGTTGTGATGACACCACTGTCAGGATCTATGGCAAACACTGTAGCAGGGGACAGCATGTAGGTGATCCTCTGATTCTCGCCTTTATCACTGTCCAGTGCCAACACTTGAAACACTGTAGTCCCAATCCCCGCATCTTCACTGACCTCAGCCTTAAACTGCTCCTTGCCCTGAAAGACAGGACGATGCCTGTTGGTGTCCAGAACATCGATGTAGACAAGCACAGAGTCACTCTGGTGGACAACATCCTTAACAGTCACAGTGAGCACATACTTGTTCTGCTGTCTGGCATCTAGTGCATTCTTCACAGATATGATACCTTTTCCTCGCGTCTGTCGTATTGAGAAAGCATCTCTATCATTCCCGCCTTCGACTGCATACGTCAGTCTCCCGTTATCTCCCTCATCAGGATCAACAGCAACAACAGTTTCCACTGGGTCCCCAACACCTGCCTCTTCAGACACGGTTGTGTTGTAGCTCCGGGCCTCAAACCGAGGCGGATTATCATTGATATCTCTGAGGGATATTGTCACAGACACTGAGGCGCTCATTGGAACTGGTGCACCGTCGGCGGCTTTGACAACAAACTTGTACTGTGCAACCTTCTCTCTATCCAACAGCTGAGAAGTTTTGATGAGTCCACTGCCACTTTCAATCTCAAAAGGAAACGACTGCGAGACATTGACAAAGGAGTATTTCAGGCGAGCATTCTCTCCACTATCTCGGTCTTCAGCCTGCACCTGAAGGACACTTGACCCCGTAGTGATGTCCTCGTTCACAACCATACTGTACGAAGGCTCAATAAACCGGGGTTTATTGTCATTAACATCAACGATTTCTATCAGAATGTTAGAACGGTTCCATTTGGGATGTGCTCCATGGTCCTCTGCCCAAACTTGTAGTTGATACTTGTTCTGATCTTCATAATCAACAGATTTCACCTGGTACAGTTTACCAGTGAATTCATCAATTTTGAAAATCTCACTCTCAGGACTCAACCTGTAAGAGATAAGTGCATTGTCTCCTTCATCAGCATCCAAAGCAGTAATGTTCAGAATTTCTTTAGTTTTACTGTACGGCCTGTCTTCTCTCAGTTTCACAATATAATTATCTTCAAGAAATTGTGGGCTGTTGTCATTTTCATCCTCCACATTTATTAGTAAAGTAAAAGTTGATGACTTTCTCTCATTCAGATTTCCTTGATCCATAGCCTGGACAATCAGTTTGTAAGATGACACTTTCTCCCGATCCAACTTTCGGAATGTGGAGATGGAGCCAGTCTGAGGGTTGATCATAAAAGCATCGTTGGGGGGTCCCGGGTTGATGATGCTGTACCGGATGACAGCATTATTCCCAGCATCTCCGTCTACAGCATTCGCTAAGAATACATCACGCTCTGCCTCAAAACTCTCTGGGACATCGATGCGAACACTCTGTTTGGGGAATCGTGGTTCATGGTCATTGACATCATCCACAATTATTGTGAGGTAAGTAGTGGCACTCCGTCTCTCGGACTCTGGCAGAGCGTTGTCTGTTGCTGTGATCGTAAATGAATGCTGCGACATGAACTCCCGGTCAAGGCTGATCGTTGTCTTGATAGAACCGGAGGTTGGGTCGATACTGAACATGTTCTGACTGCGTAAATCTTGATCTGCCTCCATGCTGTATGTGAGAAGGCCAGCCTCTCCTGCATCCTCATCCTTGGCCCAGATAGTGATCACAGGTAGTCCAGACTCCTGGCCTTCTTTCACATGAACTTCATATTGATCCTTTTCAAATGAGGGCGAGGTGTTGGTAATTTGCCGCCTCACTCTGGTCAATGCTTTGTGATCTGAGACTGCTGGTGTAGAGACTTTGCGGAGAATTAGAGTATATGGCACAATTTGAGCATGAGACTTATGGCAATCTACTGTAAGCTGAACTTCTATTCTTAACTCATTCGAAAGACAAAAGTTTTCTGAGAACGAAAGGTCCAGTGTTTCAGGTTTCACATGAATTCTTGGAGACACAGGCACAGCCTGCAATTTACAGGAGTGATACTGTGAAGGAATGTAATCAAAGAGTGAAATGATCGTGTGATGTTTACTGAGACAGTCACTGGACGAGGGTAGATACAAAAAGACCTTGTGCTGGTTCAAGCCTTTCTGTATTTTCTTATGCAGCCACTCCCTGTGTAAAAATCTGCACCTAGGCCCATGAACAAAAACAAAATATGGAATCACTGATGAATTTTGCAAAACATGAGAATGGAATGGCTTCCCAGTGGTTGAAATAAGGCGAAAATGGAGAGGATTTCTTTTGAGTTTGTGACAGTCTATCCTGCGTTTTAGAAACACAACGCCAGGGTGAGAAGGATGGGAAATAAATGGAAGAACTGCTTTACTGCCTTTTCTTTCAATTCTGTACTCCCGGGCGTGGCCAGCAAGGGTGCTGTTCACCAAGAGAGATCCTCTGGGATCAGAGCTAGATAAATGCACTTGATAAGAGAGGGTACCCGGTACGTAGCACAGTATGGCCAGCAGAAGAAAAAACAGCGCATAGGTGCGCCACGAACTTCTGTGCTCTCCACGACCCATTGTGAGTTTGTGACATAAATTAAACTTTGCAAACAGAGTTTTCCACCTTTTTTTCATGGCAAGGAACAACCACTTTTTAGTTTGATGTCCCTTGCTGAATGTTACTGCGTGCTGTCGGCGTACCTGTTCAGATCTCCATTTCAAAGCACAGGTAAAAAAACTTTCCGGAAGGGGAGTTCACTCCGCCTCTAATAAGATGTGCGTCAAATAGTATCACTACATTAGGCCCACTACATGGTTGAAAGGCGACAGGTGAAAAGAACAAGTCACAGCAGCACCATTTCTCGTTTTCATCGCACACAGAAACACAAAAAATAACAATAATCAACACAGAAAGTATACTCCTTATATCATCCTGGGTTTTTACATCGAGTGCAAGTCGGAGAAATCACATTCACACACTAGCGTCTTTGTGGACTCGCGAGCAAGAATGGGAGACGGGCCGAGACAACAGCAACGCTGTCCTATCTGGCAAAACCGCTCCGCCTGTCACAAACGCTAAAATCACTGGCACAGAGCGTCTGTGACAATGGCGGCTATTCTCTCACCCTCCCTCGTATCGCTTGTTTTCTCAATACTTTTACACACTTTCATTTGCAACTTCACAGCAGCAAAAACTTTCGGCATTATAATTCATACATTCTTACTATATGTCGCCAGATATTGTTACAGCCTTTCGAAGAATATTTTTTCTTTACGAGTAACAGAGTAAATGGTGTCACAGCAGGGGGCGTAAAAAAAGAACAGCACTAACTGGGTCACATGACCGGGTTCGATACCGTTAGGTCTGTGGCACACACAGTCACACACACAGTTCGCGGATCAATGAGTATGAGTAATAGAAGCCTGAAGAGTCGCACAATGAACCGTGAAAAGTGAATCTCCACGGTCAGCCCTGACTGATCTGGGGCTTGTCACAATATTGTACTCTGGCTGTTGGGGTGTCTTGGTCTGATGGCACGGCTTGTAAATAGAAGGATTACAGAGTTGGTGGGGGGGTTTTTCCCTCATAATGCTGTTTGCTTCGTATAGCGTCCGTGTCAATGTTAATAGTTCTGTCTGGTAAGATCTTTGTTTTGAACGCTTTGAACATTACTACAGCCTTTATATCCCTGTTTATGGTCTCGTTTTTCTTCTTCTCCTCCTTCTCCTCCTCCGCCCTCCCTCCCTCCCTCCCTCCTCCTCC